TTTCCTCTGCTTTAGCCACAAGAAGGATGAACAGACCCCTTCCGACCCCATCATGACCAGTTCCTTGGCTTTTCCCACAATGAAGAAGACTTCTCCACAGCTTGGGGTGGACAAGTGCAGCTGTCGGCTGTCCTACATCAGCTGCTTCCACAGGCCTGATGACAGTGGGGAACGTGAAACCACTATCTCCATGTGCAGCATGTTTCAGAGGCCCCTCACCACCCCACCATCCAGCAACCACAGCCTTACTGGGATCCCAGTCTCCATTGCTAGGGATGGGGCATGGTGGGACCCTCATGTCCAAGCCCTCAGCCAGCTGAAGGACCAAGCATGGATGAGCCCTGCAGATTTCTCCCGCTTCCTAGCCTATACCACAGAGCTTCAGGAGGTTGTGGGGAAGCTCTCTGGGAACCAAGCAACCCACTTGCAAGATCAATGTGCAGAGCAGGGTGCTGAGAGCAAGAGTGCCCTTGGCTTAGCCTCCCGGGACCTGCTGTCCAGTTGCCAGGAGCTCCTGAAAATAGAGCAGCCCCTCAAAGAGCTGCAGGGTGTGCTTAGGGTGACATTCGACCACCTGGTTCAGCTGGCAGTGGCCTGCTTCCAGGTGACGCACTGCCAGCAGTGCAGGCAGAGGCAGCAGGAGCTTGGGACTGCGCTTATGGATGTAGTGGGTACCTACCACCAGCTTGTGCAGGCTGTTCACCAGCAGCTTCACAGGCAAGGCTGCCCAGATCTGGGTACCAAGCTCCTGGCCCGCCAACACACAGCCCTTAGAGCTTCCATGTTTTGTCTCCTGCAGCAGTTCAGGGTACCCTCGTTGTTGTGACAGAGCTGTTTGATGACACACGGGTGCACTGGCTGGGGAAGAGCCCAGCCATGTTCCCTCTGTCCGCTGCCAGGCTCTTCCTTGCAGGATATTTAGCCTCACAGCTTGAGAATGGTCACGGAAGGATGTGTCCATGCATGCCAGCTTAGCTCCACCACGAGCTGCCCTGTCCAAGGGGTGGTCATGGGGTAAGGCATAATGCCCTCCAGCCTAGCTTTGTGTAATTGTGCGTGCAGAATCTTTATGTAATATCCAAACTTGTAGAGTACTTCAGTGGCTTATGTATCTTGCCTGGAGCTTGTCCCTCACCTCCCAAAGGCCTTGCAGGGGGCCAGTCTCAAGGTGGTGTCTTAGCTGCCTTCTGTTGCCTGTGGAGAAAGACAGGAGCCTTTTTGCCTGCCTTTCCTCCCACTCCTTGCTCTGCAGGCAGACTGTAAAGTAGAGTGACATCAGCTCCCACCCTGGCCCAACACGAAGGAACCCAGACTGCTTTGTCCACCTTCTCTGGCCGATGGTGTGTCTGGACTTGTAATGGAAACTTGTTCGGGAACAAAACTATGCTCTATTTAACTGCTTTTCCTTGCAAGAGCTGAAGTGAGGGTTGTCCCAGGCAGGGGAGACACCACCATATCCTGCTCTTCTGATACGGTTTGTGTGTGTCAGCCAGCTCTTCTGTTTGCTGATGTTTGAGAAAGCATGGCAGGGGGTTAACCAGGGACTGCTTATGGATCCGTGTCTTCCAGAAGGAGTAAGGCCTGAGACTGAAATGCAACCTTCACAGCTGTGGAGATGACCCATTATGGTGGCCTGCCTAGGTGAGGGCAAGCCCCTTTTCCCAACCTCATCAGTAGCTCATGTGCAGTACATCCCTAGTTAGGTATGAGCTGTTTTCCCTTAAAGGTCGTCTTAGTGCCCTGTAACGAAGAGGACAAAGGTAGGTCCCTGATGGCTGGTGTCTGGCATAGGGGCTTGTTTGGGAACACTGCCTTTCTCTGTTGCGTGATGAGTTGTTGCTGCAGCAGGTCAGTTGCTGCAGCCGTGTCCTCAGGATGGAGGGATCTGCACCAGGTGGTAGAGGAGCATGGGCAGGTCATAAGAGGTAGTCAGCTCTGCCCATGCACACCACGTCTACCCAAGCACCAGGGCAGTGTGGGACAGGATTGTCCTGTGGCTCTGTTACATCTGAGGAGGCCACCCCCACTTTTTTTGCTCATTCTTTAATACTTCCAGAGGGAGTAAAGGGCAAGTTCTCGCAGCTGAACCCTGCTGTGGAAGAGCATGGAAGCTGGGGCAGAAGGGAGTGCTGCTGCACCCCTAAGAGACCTCCCTAACCAGGCAGACTCTTGCAGCCAGGCAAGGAAATACCCACAGAAATTTGGCAACTTTTAGTAGCCCTACGCCAGATAACATACAGCTGCTAGGCTCACAGTGTGCCTGCAGGCAGCAGCTAGCTAACCAAGGGCAGTCTCTTTTCCTGGCCACACAGGAGGGTAGCACTGCCAGGTGGTTTGGGTTAGCATATACTGCTGCATAGCAAACTCAGGGGCTTAATTAGAAACTTTGAAGTCTCTTACACTGAAGCCCAAGTGCAGATTCCTAACTACACAGCCACAGCTGATGAGCAGGAGGATGTGAAGAGTAAGAACTGGAAGAGCCCATTGGGCACAGCAGAGCAACAGCCAGCAGCAAGCGCGTGCAGCCTACGGGGGGGAGCAACCTCTGTGTCCACCAACAGCTCTTGCAGCAGGCCCTACTGATGCTGCCACATGAGCACTGAGCTCCAGGTGTTGTAAAAGGCTCTTGATGTGAAGGAGGAATGAAAACACACAACCACATGAGATAGGTAATTTACCTCAGAAGAACTTCAAGTCCTTCCACTGGTGGTTAGACATAGTTATTGACTGTGAGGGTTTTGTTTTGTTTGGCGTTTTTTTAGCAACACTGGCTGAGGTAACATATCAACCTAGATGCATCAAAAATGCTTTCTGCTGTGGCTGTGAAATACATCTCTGCTCTTTGTGCAGGGCACAGTCAAATCCCAGGTACCTTTCCAGGAGGAATGTCGAGTTAGTGAACTTCACAAGTCCATGTGATGTCCCATGCATGCATTAGTAACTATAAGGATGCAGCAGGAGTGTAAGAGAGAACATTTTATTTTAGATTAGATGCACAGGATTAGTTATAGGCTTCAGCAACTCACCAAGGCTTCAACTGGTTTAAAGTTGTTAGGACATGGTACACCTGGGAACCGTTTCTCCACTAGGGAATCCCTTCCCATCTGCTGTTCCCCAATTGGAACAGCACTGCCCTTTTCCATGGGAAGGAATTTTCCTTGCCAATGAACTTTGCAATTCTAACTTCACTTCACTTACTTTTTAATGAAGATGAAAGAAATACCTTAAAGTTCCCCTCCCTGTCCCAGAACTAGTGTAGATGCAAGAATCAGAAACACTCTAGCAAGCATCTGCAAAGAAGCAAAACTGAATTCCTGTCACTTTTACTTGGTCCCAGGGCACCAACAACTTTTGTTTCCTGTTCAAGGGGAAAAGTAATTTCCAGCATTGTACTGCGGAGGTAGGACGTGTACTCTTGAGAAGCTCCTTAAACAAGATTTAAGCAGAGCTGTTTTCTCTATGCACATCCATGCTGGTGCCTCTGCTTGAAATTCGGAGTTCACCTCTCATCTGCACAGCTCCTTAACATCAAAAAATAAAGAGTTTTCTTGTGCATTGTCATGCTGAGGTATTTCCACTTATTTCACTGCATCTGGTAGCACATAGCCTTTTCCAGAAGAAACTCCAGCTTTCAAGGCTGCTGGCCAACTTTGGGTCTCATAGTACGTTGATAAGACATCAAAGACTGTCAGGAAGAGAGCAAGAGAGGTATCATGCTGTGATACTGGCATCAATAGCAAGCTCTGGGATACACCCCCACTGGCTACAAAACATCAGGAAATCATAGTTACATGCCAGAGAAGATTGGCATGGGGTTTGCATTCCTTCTCATTTAAAATCTGATGAGCAAGTGTTTGAGGCAGTTCGTCTAAGAGCAGACGACTGTCTTGAAGATGACTTTGGGGAGCTCTAGCTAGGAAAAACAGAGGCTGTGTCAACTAAAGCAAGGTTCCCCCAGTCCCCATTTTCACTAACCTGTACTGCCTGCCTGTGCTGCTGATGACAGTACACCCATGGTGGGTCATACCTACTGTGCTGGCACCATTGCTTCTCAGATGCTGTGTCACCAGGGCTCCCCTGGGGGACACAGTGGTCTCTAGCAGTTAGGCTTGGTGTTCTGCAGAGCTCTCTGCCACATCCTCTGCCTTGCGCTGATGGAGATGGCAACAAAGCCCTCATGCCAGAGGTAAGAATTTGACAGAGGTGGCCTAAGACATGAGTCCCTGCCAGAGAGGTGTTCACATTACCAAGCCACAGACTGCCACCAGAGCTGGAAAAATGGGCAGATCCACTGATGTGACCAGGTGGCCTGGCCCATGGTCATGACATGGAGCCATCACAGTGGTATAGCACAAACACCCCACCCTGGTGTTCTGAGCCTTGCCTTGATCAAGCCTGACACAGGCCCAGCTTCTGTCCTTTTCCCTTGCCTGGGACCTAGTGTGACTTGTAGCAACAGCAGCCTCCTCAAATGTTCCCACGCTAAACTGTTCACTGCTTTGTGCAAAGCAAGAGTGATACAAGTCCTGCTCCTCTGAAACTGGGCTAATGCAGAAAAGCACACAAGACCTTAAGATGGGGGCAGCAGGGATAAAACCTAGTCAGAGAAACCTCTGCTGCCAGTGTTTTCTGCCATTACTCAGCACCAGGGAAGTGACAGCACACGGCTCAGCTTCTCACCTTGATTAATTGCCAGTGTCTCCGAGTGGTAGTTCTTGGTGTTGGCGGTTTTCACCATGTATTCACGGATGGGGAGGCGGGCTGTTTGCAAGGACTGTTCTTGTGCCCTTTGCAGAGTCAGCTTCTGCAAGGGAAACAAGAACAAGGTGCCCAAACTTGCACATGCATAGGATGCGTACCATTTTGGGGATCAGCAGCTACGAAGGCAAAAACTGTCCTAGGGCTCATTCCACCCAGGCTGCTGCAGTCTCTCTGCCTGGTGCTGGATCCAGGCAGAACCTTGAGGAAAAGTGGATGGTGGCACTATAGTGATGTCTAAAATCAAGGCAGCAGCAGCACTGGTTGCTACCAATGGGATGGCTCTGCTCTCATGAGAGAATGGGGCAGCCAGCACCTTCAGGTTCTGATAGGCAACTACCCACCTTGTGAATACTTTCATCCACCAGGCCTCCAAGGACGTACACTTTATTTGGATCAATATCTTCAAGGACTAGAAACAAGATAAGCACTTACTCACCACCATGCAACAGTAAAATCCCGTACTACACCATTCCTCAAGCAAAACCCCACCGCCATGAGAAAGCTGTGGCCAGAGTCACCCTTTACCCAGTAGCCTCAGACCATGAAGGAGGCTGAGACTTCAGAGACAGAAGTGTCTGTCTGAACCTGCAGGCAGACTGAAAGGGCAAGATCAGATGTTGGCTGAAAACACAGAGAGCCAGGGATGCCATACATTGCTCCCTTTAACTGTTGTCTGTTCTGAGATGGGGCTGACCTGGGCAGTCTGATCCCAATCTGCTCCGCAGATGCCTCTCCACTGGCCAGGTGACTTACTGAGACCTTCCCCCACCCTTACCAGATCCTTTATTGCAGAAAGGCACTTGAATAAAACAAGAAAGGGATCTACATCCCCAGGAATGTGTGGCCAGTTAGAAATGTAGGAAGACGAGGAAATAAACACAGCAGCAAATTAAGCAATATGTATTTCCTGCATTATTTCACAGAAAAATGTGATTTAGACTACACTCAAAACTGCTACAGCATCTCCACTTTGCCACTTCACAGTACTACAAACTGCAGGAGGCCTACACACAGGTTTTAAGTCTGCTGCAGACCATGCACAGGCCTGACTGGCAACCTCATTCCCTGTCAAAACAGATTGAGGAATTAATCAATTTAGCATCAGACCTAAGTACACCACATATCTATTGCAATTTGACACAGTGAATGCTTGGAATTGAATCACCTGAAATATAACATGGTCTCAGAAAGAAAAGCTTAAAAATCAACCTTTTGCCCTAGTTCCCCTGTGCCTCAAGCAGGTAAAATATTTACCATTCTCAGAGTCAGGAGTGAGATAAACAATTGCATCTAAAGGAAACAGGTCCAGGTAACTTTCTTGAGTTGTATCTATCTGAAAAATGCAAGACAGGAAGAGAACAAGCCCATTAGCCCAACCCAAACTCCATCTGCCAGAGCAAAACCCACCCTCAGACACAGAAATATAGTGGAACTGACACTACTGCCTTAGGTGTTTAACCTCCTACAGATGGAGTGTGTTTTTAATTCGGAAGATGTTCCTGTATGAGCACTGAACAATACATATCTCAAATCCATTACATTTTCATCAAAATCGCTAGATGTGGTTTGAGGAAGGGAGATCAGTAATAATTACCTAATTTTAAGTGAGATTCTAATTCTTGAGAGATTCAGGAATCTCCACTTCAGGTGGTTTTCCCACCTGACTGTTACAGGCAGCCCCACATGCACTGTAGAACACACGACTCGATGTCACTGCCATAATGTGTGGGTCTTGTGCTTGAGTCAAACCAAGCTCGGTACAAGAACTCGGGAGAGGAATGCGCGACCTGTCCAAAGCCTGACCAAGCTTATTGTGTCTGCCTGTCGCCAGTACCACAGGCCTCTTTGCAGAAGTAGCATCTGGAGAAGAAAGTCTCCTCCTGCAGGCAGGAGCAACACGAGCTCTAACCAGAAGGCCTTGCCCACCACCCCATTATCTCCAAGTTCTTGTCTCCCACCAAAGGTCAAGAAGATCTGACCTTAACCACTGTCACTGACCTGTATTCCCACCATCGGAGCCCGCCTCAGCCTGTCTTGGGTCAACACTGAGGGCCAGCACTATGGGCATGGGGCGCTACGAGCAGCACTGTGGTCAGAGACCCTTACCAAATAATTGGAGAAGCCATCGTTCATGCGGAAACACTCCTCATAGATCAATGAGCCCACCACAAACTCCGTCAGACAGAGCCAAAATGGCTTCTCAGCCCGCCTATTTGCCCCGTAGAGTCTCCTGATCTGGGAGGCGAGGCGGCTTGTTTCCTTCCAACAAACAACAAGCACAGTGACCCACAAGTCTAGGGGCAGGGGGTGACACAGCTCCATTCAGGCCTGCAGACATCCATCACGCCTGTGTCACAGGCGGGCTGCTGAGGCTCTGGAAAGGCTGCTCCTGGGGAGCACAGCTCATCTGCCTCTGAGTCTCAAGGAAACCCATTGAGCTGGGTGTGCAGCCAGCCAGTGCTGGAGACCAGGCAGCCATGGGCAGGCCCAGGGGTGGAGGGACAGGCAGAGGTGAGAGGGGCCAGCATCCCACCAGAGGCAGGGCTCAGGAGAGCTGCTGTCTGCACCCTCGCACATCCTGGCTCTAGCTGAGCTGGAGGGTTTCTCAGAGTTTCCCAGCAGAGCTAGAACAAACCAGTGACGTGACCCAGCCAAGGGCTCCCTCGGCCTTGTTTCAGGAGGCTCCCCTGTGCTCCCTCCCTGCAAACAGAACGGTCCAGGAACAGCGCAAGGCAGGACACTTCCCATAGCGGAAGCAAAGAGGGATGGATGGATGAGAGGAGCAGCCGCCAGGCCGCGCCAAGGCTACAATGGGGCACGTCCCCAGGATCTCTGAGCAGTTTCCAGACCTCGGAGAGGGGCTGTGCTGGCAAGCAGCAGCAGCACTGGTGCCGACCGGCACAGCAGGCAGGGGGGCCCGTACCTTCTCCGTCATGCGGTCAGCCACGCCGAGGTCCACGCAGAGCCGGGGCCCCGACGCCCTGGCCTCCAGAAGGCGTTCCTTCGCGAGGGAGGC